ACTCTCCGAGGACCACACCCCAGGCACGGGGTTGAAACTGTCAGGTCATGGGGGTCCCAGCCTAAGGGGGACAGCCACCCCAGGCTTGTAAGGGCAGTGTGGTCCTCTCCCAAGGTGCGGGGACAGCCCGCAGAGTCCTGGAGCTAGAATTAGCCCCCCAGGGCTCACGGGGTATGGAGAACCCGTGAACCTCTTTGAAAGAGCACTTCTTCTTCTTCGGGGAGGGCGTGTGGGATTGCGCGCACAATTGGATCAAGTGCTCTTCGAGGAGAGTGACCTTCCTGAGCAAAGAAGGACGTCGGGATGTGCGAGGCAGCCGGAATAACTCAAAATCAAATGACTCTAATGTGTGAGGACGAGGACAAAAACGCTGTGATCAAGAAGAGGGATGCCCGGGGTTCCGAATCAAAGCGCCCTGCAGAACGTAAAGAATGCGAAAAGCAGAGCAGAAACCTCAGCAGCGTAGAAGACATGGGAGGAAGCCTCCACAGAAACCTCAGCAGCGTAGAAGACACGGGAGGAAGCCTCCGCAGAAACCTCAGCAGCGTAGAAGACACGGGAGGAAGCCTCCGTGAGCAAGCAGTGTGTGGGGCGCCAGGAGGAAGAGAGCTGGCTCAGTGGGAACAACCCCAGTCAGGCCACTGTCTCTACAGTTGGTCCCGAGGCACCCAGGCTCCAGGCTGAGGAGCATAGGCCACCTACACGGCCTGGTGTTGGACTTGAAGTTCGTGGGAGTCATTAACCAGCCCAGATCTGGGGTAGAGGCTCTTACTAGGAAGGTACTGGGTCCCCCTCATAGAGAGTGTTTAGGGGTGTTGTCGCCTCCATTTCCTACTCAGAGATCTTTGGAAGCCGCCAAAGCAGGAAGCAGCTAAAAGGGGTTGTTGACGGGCTGTCGTTACCTGAAGGCCCTCCAATCCTTGCTGTTAAACTAGGTAGTGACCCAGTGCATCTAAGCATTCGCCCTGAGACAGGAGCTAGGTGGTTTCCCAGGCCAGGCTCGGGTCTGTGCTCCTTGGGCCTTGGGTGTTCAGCTCATGTGTTGCTTGTTGGGGTTGGAGGTCATGGTGAAGGCAGTCATGACAACAGCAGTCATACGAAGATAATTATCCCTGTCCTGCTTGGCCCAGGCACTCCACGGTCCCCTTCCAGTGCTGGGCACAGAAGAGTGGGTGGGCCTCTTCGCTTTATGTCTGGTCTGCCTCTGTTCAGTTCTCCAGGCCTCCGCAGAACAGAGAGCCAGCCCTAACTTCCATTTCCAGGCAACAAAAGGAAGGTTCTTATGGGGGGGGGGCTTGGCCTGCTGCAGACCTCAGAATGAGCGAGCAGCCACATCGTGGTCTGGGGCTGTCGCTCTGTCGTCTCTTGGCGCTGTGACTCTCCTGCTGTCCTGCTTCTCTAAGTCTGAATAAAGAAGAGCCTCTCTCCTGGGGTCCTTGAAGATGGACCTTTCATGGAGGAATTGCCTTATCTTGGAAAGAAATAGTTAGCCACATGAAGGCACAGAGGATTTGGTGCCTCCATAGGCGATGTGGTGTGCGTAAGCCATAAGAGGGTATGATTACAGACCCCCAGAGGGGCATAGGTCAACTTGAAAGGGAGAGAGAATAAAAGAGCAACAGAGAAAGCATGAAGGTCAGGGGTCCTGACAGGTTCTTGACGATCCATTTAATTCAGGTGAAGGGCTCTGACCCCCCTGCAAGTCTCTGGAGTACATGTGTGCAGCAGCATTTCTCCTAGTGATGGGGTGAGGCATCATAACTAGGCTGAATCCCCAACCTCGGGGAGTCAGAGGACCGAGTAAGCCCATGGGTGACAAGACCCAGAGACGAGCACTTTCGGCACACTGGAGCTACTGGGTTCTGGGGCTGCAGGTTCTGGGGCCAGGAGTCTGAAAAGCTGAGACGCTGAGAGGGGGTGCAGACACAGGAAGGATGGTTCAGGGGCCCCGAGAATAGAGGGTGCACGTGACTAGACTCACAGAACACAGCTCTGAGTAGGAGAAGTCCTTTACGGCCAGTTCCATCAACCCTAGAGTCCCCCAATGTCATAAAGAGCCAACTTCCCGCTGAGACCAGATAGCATGTAGCCATGGTTGCTCCTTATTCACGAGTGTTTCTGTTTCCTCAACCAGAAAGTCTACAGAAACTCCTGGGAGCAGAACCGGGCTGGTGGCTATGACTTCAGGCTGGATGCCATCCCATTCCAGACTGCCAAGGTGTCCAGGGATATCGCCAGTGATGTAAGACTCTAAACTCTGCCTGTGGCTGGCAGAGTTCTCGCTGGCTACCCAAGGAAAGAAAGGCTCAGGACATCCTCTTGGACCATCAGACTTCCTTTCCCCACACCCACACAGAGTCATGTTTCAGAGGAAAGAGAACTCAGGCCTGGTGGTTAGAATCATAGCAAGAAAATTGGGAAGGCTCTTTTGTTTTGCTTTATATATATATATATATATATATATATATATATGTATATATATTTTCCCAGTAACTCTTTCAGGAGAGGTACTCAACAGTTGATGGCTGGAATACCAGAAGCCAAGGAACCTGTGGTTCTATGGTTGGCTGTTTAATTTGTAGTAAAGAATCTTTTACAAAACTGCTCCTATGCAAGTGTGAGGACTTACATTCAGACTTGCAGATCCCATGTAAAGCCAGATGTGGTAGCGTATGCCTGTAGCGCCAGATGTGGTAGCATGTACCTGTAACCTTAGGTGTGATAGCATGCTCCTGTAACCTCAGATGTGGCAGTGTGCATCTGTAACCCCAGGTCTCCTATGGTGAGATGGGAAACAACAGAGTTAGGAGAATTCCCCTAAAAGCTCAATAACTGGTTTGCCTGGCATATGCAGTGGATTAGCATGAAACTCCATCTTAAACAGTGTAGAAGACGGACAGACACTCAGTGCTGTCTTCTGTCCTCCATAAGTGCACTGTGGCACACACGTTTCCACGCTCACACACAAAGAATTCACACAGGTACTCATACACGTACGCACATGATAAAAACTAAGATGAAAACGCAACTATGTAAAACGACCTAGATGCTTCACTTTAAGCAATTTGAGACGCGCTAGACTAGGCCCCTGCATGCTGGGGAGGGCGGAAGGAAGAACGCACACTTCCGTTCCTGTTGGAGCGTTACTTGCGGCAGCCATCGAATGGGCATCGTCGGTGGACATCTGTTGAACCCCAGTCCCGTACCACTGACTTCTCTCAGTATCCCACGGGGTGGAGATTTAGTCTCCTGCTTTATCAGATGCTCAGAGGCTCCACAGCTGGTGAAAGGCCTCCCCACTGGCTTTACTCGACTCCAAAGCTTGTGCCCTTACCCACTGTTGAGCTTCCCCGGGGTGTGGCCCCTCTGGGGCGGGGTATCCCACCACCTCTCTCTGCTTCTCTGACTTGCAGTTCCGGTACAAGGAGGCGTTCCTGAGGGACCGGGGCCTGCAGATTGGGTACCGTAGCATCAGTGATGACCCAAGGATGAGGCATTTCCTCCGCGTCAGCAGGCTCCAGAGCGACAATGAGTATAAGAAGGACTTTGCCAAGGGTTGCTCCCAGTTCCACAGCCGCCCTGACCAACCTGGCTTCCTCCAGGCCAAGAGGAGCCAGCAACTGGCCAGTGATGTACGCTACAGGCAGCCACTGCCCCAGCACACCAGCGACCCAGAGCAGCTGGGCCTGAAGCACGCGCGGAAGGCCCATCAGCTGCAGAGTGATGTGAGCCACCTCCACATACTGCCCGTTACCTTCTGGGGGAGCCAGCTGAGAGGGCACAGTGACAGCCACTGCCAGCCACTTCTGCCACACCTCTAGTGAATAATCTCTAAGGATCGTGCTATGCAGCCCCCCAATCCCAGGACTGCCTTATTTAACAGAGAAAGAGCTCAAGATACAGAGGCGTTAAACTGCCTAAGATCACACGGAAAATAAGTGGCAGCCCTGGGTATCCTATGTAAAAATGCTCAACTTCCTTCCTTCCTTCTTTCCTTCCTCCCTTCCTCCCTCCCTCCCTTCCTTCCTTCCTTCCTTCCTTCCTTCCTTCCTTCCTTCCTCCCTCCCTTACTTCCTTCCTTCCTTCCTCCCTTCCTTCCTTCTTTCCTTCCTTCCTCCCTCCCCTCCCTCCCTTCCTTTCTTCCTCTGTCCATCCTTCCTTCTGTCCATCTGTCCTTCCATCCTTTCCTTCCTTCCTCCCTTCCTCCTTCTTCCTTTCGTTCTCCCTTCCTCCATCCTTTCTCTCTCCTTCCTCTTCCCTCTGTCCCTCCGTCCCTCCCTCTGTCCCTCCCACCCCCTCTCCCTTCCCCTCCCTTCCTTTCTGTTAGGGATTCATCCCAGGACCTTATGCATACCAGACAAGGGCCCTGACACTTAGCAGATGTCCGATCTGGAAGCTCAAGCCCTAGGTGGCTCTGGTCTACTATTTCCATGGCATCTAAAGACTCACTTAAGCCAGTTTATTCTTTCCCTGGTAGGCAACCGAAGCTCAGAGTGGGGGGGCGCGTTTTCCTAGGTGCGCAGAACACAGTAAGAGAGGAGCCTAGACTTGGGCCAGGTGTCCCCATCCTGGCTCCCACTGCAGCTTCCACCATCTGAACGGGAAGATTACAGGAGTGGCTGCGTGGTGGCCAGGCTCACTGTCCACCAGGTCCCGTGTGCATCACGTGATTGCTCTTTGTCTTGACATGAATGATGTCCTTGTGGCCCTTATCTCCTTGTTGCATTTCAAACCCCACTCATTCAGTGGCCAAAGTCCCCAACCCCACTGACTACCCAACACTCTTGCTTCTTCCTTCCCCCAAGGTCAAGTACAAATCTGACTTGAGCCTGACTCGAGGTGTTGGCTGGACCCCTCCTGGCTCCTACAAAGTGGAAATGGCTCGGCGGGCTGCAGAGCTGGCCAACAGGAGGGGCCTGGGTCTCCAGGGGGCTCACGTGAGTAACAGAGCTGCAAACTGCACCCTGCCTTGCAAGACCACGGGGAACACAAACTCATTGTTGCTTTTCAAAGTTTATTTTTGGGCAAAGGTCAGCCAGTTCTAAAGAAGCGTGAAAGGCAGCCGAACAAGGCGCCTAATTTCATGGGTCTGAGATGACCGGGCCGGTGACACGTGGGTTAAACTTCCCGCAGGCTTCCTCTGAAGTCACAGCCATTAGTTCTGCAGAGGCAAACCCACCAGGGCGACATCAATCCCGGGCCAGGGCAGCCCAGGCTGTGCTGAGTGTTAGCTCGTTATATGCACGGAAAGGGTCAGGGACTCGCTGGCTCCAACAGTCTGCATTTTGAACCCGACTTTGTTCAGAAAAGAGACACCACATCTAAATGAGACGCGGGCTTTGCTCCTTTCTCATCTTTGCCTCGAGGGTCCTTTTTCTTGGGCAGGGTGGAAGAGAGGACAAAGGAGGGGGGGCGGATGTGTCAGATGTTGGGCCGGCGTCTTAGCATGGCTTGTGGGAGCTTCATGTGCACTTGGGGTGGGGGCTATGTGTGATTTCTGCAGGCAGGGCCGGAGCAAATGGGGCACAGAGATCATCAGAGCCCGGAGGTGAACCCAGACGCCTCGGAGATTCTGCACATCAACAGGAAGAAGGCTCTGCTGATGTGAGCGGCCACCCGCAGCTGCGTCCTCGGGAGAGAGAGGCCAGCCGTTGGAGGGTTGCTGGCTGGAGGCATGCCTTCACGTGGGGCTTCAGTCTGCACGAGTTGTTAAAAAAATGGCCACGCCCTCCCCATCTCCGCCTCTGCCTTGATTAAAACAGCTCTGAAAGCAAACTCTGGAGCGTGTGCTTTGGGGGCTTCTCTCTGATGGGTGGGTCAGATTGGCTAGAACCCTGATGGTTTGGGCAGGGGAGGAAGAGTCAAGGAGACATCCCTGGTGCTGATGCTGGGCATTTAGGAACCTCACGTTTGCGGGTGTCCATGGTGAAGACCGTCTCTTCGAGTTCTGCTTTTCCGGAGGGTGAAGGGGAGCAAAAATCATCATATTTCTCATTGGTTCCCAAGGGGGAAGGCGGGCAGAGTGGGCCCTCATGAAATGGTTCTGGGATAGGCCCATGGTTTGGCAACAGTCTCTGTGGAAAGTGTGGTCTTCAGCTACATGGTCTTCTGGGATGCAAAGGACATCCCTGGCTGCCCGGGAAACCCCTTTTGTCTGGTGCTAAAGAGGAGGGAGGGGCTTCAAGGCTCCCAAGATGGCACCTCAGAAGCCGGTCTCTCTATGCATGGTGTTTCTGATCCAGTTCAGGAACTTGGTGACTTGAGTGTAGACTCCTGGTTTCTTGCCACATTCCTGCCCCCAGCTCACGATCCCATAGACAAAGTAAGTGCCGTCCCGTTCACAGGTCAGAGGGCCCCCGGAGTCACCCTGAGGGAAGAGTCATAGGGTGTCAGCCTTGTCGGGCTAAGACTCAGAGGTACCCCAAACTGCCTACGAGGGAGTGATGGCGTAAAGTCGCCGGCCAGCTACCCTGGGCTTCTCTGGAAATCAGTGCCAAAGCTCTTCCCGAGATTCCCATGGTGCATAGCTCCAAAGGGAGAGAAGCTAATACCAGCTTCAGTTGTGGAGTCTGGAAAAAGTTTGAAGCCCAGGGCTGCAGTCACAGTGCTGTGGGCAAGTAATGCTCCCTGGCTTTCAGTTCCAAAGGCTCCGCTGCTGGTGCCTAGGGGCCCTCAGCGTCAAGCAGCTGACCAAGGTAGGCAATGGCTTGTTTGGACAGACCCCCATGTAAGGAGGACCACAGGGACTCAGAGGGAGCCTATGTGTTCAACCTGCTGCCTGCTGACCAGGCCTGAGACCTTGCTTTTTCAGTGGAGAGTGTGGATAACCACAGAGGAGCTGCTCTCCGATTCCTTATGAAGTGCTTAGACCAGGATAGAGATGGGCAGGAGGAAGGCAGTGGGGGAAACAGCTGGCCTAGTCACGGCACCTAACAGCTTTTATAACATGACCTTGCCCTCCTAACCTAATCATAGCCACTGCCTTGTGATGTCATGGTCACATTGACCCAGGTCCTATATAGTACAAGACAGAACCAGGTTCCATACCCATGACTACCTATCAGATTCAAAATCTGTTCAGGATAGCCCTGGACTTATCTAGAGAACTGAGTAGCCTGTGATCCCATTCATCTCCCAAGAGCTTAAGGGGAACCACACCCACTTTCTCTTTTCTGTCCTGAGTTTGTGGCTTTCCATGCTCCCATGGAGAGGGACAGAGGGTCATAGCAGAGCCACCGACTCTAGAGAGAGAAACTCCAGTTTCCCAACCCAACAGACTGTGGGTTGACCAGTTACCTTGTGTCCCTTTGTAGGGAGGCTTTATCATGCTGTAGGATGAGAACATAGCTACACTGGATTTCTGAGAACAGCTGGGCAGTGTTTAAGTACGAACAGAAAGCCTAAGCCGAGCTGATCTCAGGAGCCTAGGAAGGATGTATTCCACGTGACAGGAGCCCTGAGCTAAACAGAGTATGGGCTTTGCTTTGGGGCAGGGACCCTGGGTTCCCTTAGCGTAGAGTTGGTGGAACCACTACCCCCTCTTTCTCCAGGAGCACTATTGAGTCTCCATAGATCTCAGCATCTGGGAGTATGCCATTATCACAGCATCTGGGAGTATGCCATTATCACAACGGAGCAAAGCAACAAAGGCTTTGGCGGTCCAGTCCCACCACCTAGCGCACGGCTGCTATTGGCCTTGACAATGTCTCGAAACCTCTGCCACATGTTGATGGTTACATTCCCTTCAGAGGCTGCTGTGAGAGTTAAACCAGGCAACACAGCGGCATTGGTTGCTATGCTGACTCATCCCAGCTCGATGGAGGCTCAGACGGGTCGCCCACCTGTGTCTAGACACCGAAGCAAGTAACCTGTTGACCCAGGTTCCCACCCCCCAATGATATAACAGGCCTGTCTTCTAAACTTGGTATTCGGTAAGCCTCTACCTCCAAGGACCACGTGGAGTCTCTGACCTGGCAGGTGTCTGCTCCAGGCTTCTGCAAGTTTCCTGCACAGATCATGCTGTCATCGATTGTATGGTCATAGAGTCGGCGGGAGTTGCACAAAGGGTTAGAGATCAGCTTGACTTTAGCATCCAGGAGCTGGCGGGACCCTTCCCCTGTGGGAAGGAAACAGTCACTACCACGGAGACCAGAGCGATACCCACTCTACTGGAAGTCATCATTGGTAAAAAGAGGCCACTGGCTCTCAGTTGAGGGAGAAAGGTATTTTAGTAGAGGATGGGAAGAAACGTTTCACCCTCCGATGCCAGTGCCATCAACCCCCACGCTTCTGCAGACTTTCAAAGCCACTCTGATCACATTTGGGCAAACCCATTCTCTACTGTCTCAGCTAGATCACAGATCCTGAAAGGTGTGTGTGTGTGTGGTTTAGAATTGTCTTTAACTCCCTGCATCTAGCAGAAGTGCTAACACATAGTAGGTTCTGAAGAAACGGATGGATAAATACAAGGGTGGTCTCATGGGTGCACGGATGACGGGAACAGATGGACAGATAGACGGATTCATGTATGCATAGATAGGGTGGATGGATGGCTCACGTGTGCCCTGATCTATTAGACTATCTGCTTCCCAGAGAAGACACCCTTCTCAGAGATGATGAAATTTCTCAAAGCATCTTTGACTTTGAACATAGTCTTAAGGACTATTTGTGAAAAATACAGACGTTCTAATCTGAGGCCCTATAAGATTCCCAGCTAAGATGTCACCAGCTGAGCGAACCCTTTAAGGACAGTGGAAGTGGGAAGGCTCAGATGGACTCCAACAAAGACTACGGAAATTTTCCTGGTCGACCTTAAGTCCAATTAGGCAGAGATTTTCTTTCCCCTGAGCCTCGGGCAGATGCCTGCACACATTCTATTTCCCTCTCTTCATGAATCTAAACCTATTCAAAGTGATTTTTTATTTTGCTGTCCATTATTAAGTAGGGCGTGGCACATTTTGAGTATTTGGCAAAGACCTGAAAACGCTCTTCTGAACTTCTTTGTATTTAAGAGATAATCTTGGTGCGCATAATCCAAGTCCTTGGAGGTAAAAATGACAATTGGAAAGTTCAAACTGAGCTGCCTGAGAAACAAAACCAAGAATCTACTGCAAGAATACCTGACACTGAGTGGCTGCCCAATTCAGTAGCTTAAAACGGTATTGTCTCTGCCCCCGAGCTCACATACACTCTGCCAAGCATCCTATCAACCAGGTACCACATGTGCCCAGCATCCTATCAGGTGCTACATTTGCCCAGCATCCTATCAGGTACCACATGTGCCCACATCTGCTACGCACCCAGCATCTTTGTAATTTGCTCAGAGAAGGAGAGAGGTCTTCCCTGGTGTACAACGAGTGCTTGGGAAAGGCCACACATCTAGAGCAGGAGGCCAAAGGCCACTACGGTGACCAGAGGCTCGCAGGGAAAGTTCCATGCAAATGGTTACATTCAAGTAGAGCCTGAACCACGAGGCAGCTGCATTCTCTGGCGGTTCATTTTGAATTTGCTACGAGAGCAAAGAGGGCAGAGGGGGCATATTGCCAGACTCACCTGTTTCCGTCACACCCCAGCCGGAGATGTGGCATTCAGTCCCCGAGGGAAAGGGGTCACTGGGCAAACATATGGTCTTCACGTATTTGGATTCCAGAGCACAGCGACCATTCACTGACTTCAACTTGAGCAAAGCTGGGTGAGAGATAGAGAGAGAGAGAGAGAGAGAGAGAGAGAGAGAGAGAGAGAGAGAGAGAGAGAGAGAGAGAGAGAGAGAGAGAGAGAGAGAGAGAGAGAGAGAGAGAGATTGAGAGAGAGAGAGAGGAGAGAGGTTTCATCTTGCTTTGGAAGACACGTTAGCAAGCCCCAACGCTCCTCCCATGACTGAAAAAACTTTTTTCATCTACGTTTGACGTTTACACTTCCAGGAAGGGTGAGTCAAACACAGAAAGGATATCAATAGTTAACAAGACCAATTAGATTCATAGCCATTCCCCAAAAGCCGGCTGTACGGGAGGGGCTGCTGATGACCGAGGGGGAAAGGGAGAGGAAGGCCCCGTGTTGAGGAGGCGACAGGGGAGCATCCAGCAGTGCGCCCCAGCACCTGCTAGGTGCCATTCATGTGCACACATGCACATTGTGTCACAACACACAGTCATCTGAAAGCCGGGCGACGGCTCCCTCATTTTGTGGAACAGCAAACCAAGGTTCAGGAAGATGACCCGAGTCCTGGCTGATAAGAGCCCTGGAATTCAAGGCTGTGCGCTTGTCATGATGCAGCATTCTCCACACCTCTTCCCTCCAACTGAAAAGCTTTGCCTAGCAACAACAATGCTATCACATACTCCCTAGACATAAAAAAAGCTTTGAAATAAATGACACACCTTGCAGGGTCCCTAAGGGATACAAATGATCAAGGGAACTTTCTGTAACCAAACCCCAGATTTCTAACAGTGGAGAAAATCCACCTAGGACAAGACCCACAGGAGACTCGGGGGATACTTGCCAATGTCATTATGGGGAATCTCATCTTTTTCAAGGTACTGACTGTACTTCAGTATCTTTTCCACCCTGAAGGTCTGCTCGTGAGATTCTGTCTTCTTCAGGTCCTGGTCCCCCAGCACGACTTTCAGATGCCTGGTGCTTATGCTACAAAGTAAAATAAGGTGGTCGTGAAATTGCTCTGTGATGTCGCAGGCAGAGCTCTGCTTCTAGGAGGTCACGTGACCTTGGTGAGGCCCTTGATTTTCAGCTCCCAGCATCCTTATCCTCAGCTCCATCACAGAACTCTGCTTGGGCCATGCAAAGGAACTTCTCCATCGGTGGGTGGAGAGTCCAGACACACACTTGTGCAGTATTCCTTTATGCTGTGTGAAAAAGTGTCACTGTGATTGCTTTAATAGAATATATAAATGGCCAGTAGCTAGGTAGGATTTTCTGGGCAGAGAGAATGCTGGGAGGGAGAAGGGCGGAGTCTGAGGCGTTGCCAGCCAGACACCGAAGAAGCAACACTGGAAGTACATAGATGAGGTGAACGAGCCTTGGGGCAGTGCATAGATGAATAGAAATGGGTTAGTTTAAGTTATAAGGGCTAGCTACAAACAAGCCTAAGCTATTGGCTGAGCTCTCATAACTAATAAGGAGTCTCCATGTGGTTATTTGGGAGCAGCTACCAGGACACAAGAGAAAGCCACCTACACACACTCATTTTTCTCATTTTTCCTGCCTCTCTTTTCTCTCTGGCTTGGCTAAAAGTCAGCCTTGAAGTCTTGAACCAATCTGCTGCAACTCGCGTGACTTCTCTTGGGGAGCAAGCACACTGGATTCCCAGAGGATAAGGTAGGCTAGCAGACACGCAGGTTGCCTCTTAAGCCAGGGATCATGAGACCGGCCCTGACCATGGACTTAGGGAATCTGGGACAGGTGGTAATTTCTCAGCTCCCAGAAGTCACCAGAGGTGTAAATGAGGATGCCTGACCTGGAGGTTTACTGGTAATGGGTTATTTTGTCCTACTCGGGGTAGACTGTAGAAGCAGACACACCTGAGGCCAATCCCACTTGCTGGCCTTCTTTCCCTGACACCTTAGGCATTAAACTTTCCTAAGACCCATGCCCCCTCTACAAAAAGGGAATGGCAATATGCCTTTCCTTACGGACACTTACTAACTAAATACTTGCCACATGGAAAGGCCTCTGCGCTGAAGGCATCAGAGACATCACAATGAACTGCTCTTGGTAGCTGGCTATCTAGGGTAGACTACGTGGAACAGCTGTGGTAAGCCATGGTTGCTATATCCCCCATTCATTTCAAGACTCCGTTCTTAGCTCTCTGGTGCATTAACCCCCCCCCAGGTCCTGCCAAAACTTCCAAGATGCCACTTAATGGGAAGAGAGCCTGTTTGCACTCCAGCCATGCTGCTCCCCCTTCCTGGTGGGCACCTACTCAGTACAGTGGGCTGCGGTGAGCACCCAGCAGGGGTGGATCAGGGCGCCCCCACAGAAGTGACCTTGAGGCATGGAGGTGGTCAGCGGCAGTGAGGTCTGCAGGGACACCTGCCACGGGTGCTTGCCCGCTGTGCTCTTAAAGCCCCCGTAGATGCGCTTGACTGTGTGCTCCGCTATCTCTGTCTTCCCGCACGAGTTGAACCCTGGCAGTTCCACCGCAGGCTCCAGAAGGCTTCCCGCCGGGTCAGGAGTATCTGTGGGGCATATGGAGATAAATTACCCAAGCCACCCGCCCTCTCCACTCCTTCAGAGGTCATGGCTGGAGTCGTGACTCTGATCACATGCTGACCAAGCATCCGGAGCCAAGAGGCGTGATGCCCTCGGCGTGCTGCTTGGTGAGCGACGCTGAGGTTTGTTGGATAGCTTAGTTAACATGAAGCAAGTTCTCAGAATTCGTGACAAAGATGTTGCTTTTGCTTTCGTATTCTGAAAGGGTTTAGCTGCTAGGATCAGCAAACGTATACGCGGAATATGCAAGTACACCATCACGCAGCATTCGTAGTATGTCATTGTGAACACATGTGTTATGTCTTGGGGCTTTTTTTTTTCTAGTAGAATAGGGGAATCAGAGGCTACTCAGAAAGCTGTGGTAAGGGTTGTGAGGCTGTGCCCTTGTTGTGTTCCTGAAGGTTGTTCAGAGACACAGAGAGAGAAACGAGGGTTTGTTCAGGAGATGCAGAGAGCTTGTCAGAGGGAGGCGTGCCCGGGTCAGGTCCCGAAGAATGGTTAGAGACAGACAAAAGCAGATACGACACGGAGTATCACAGACAGACACCCAGCGGCCGGATAGATGGGGCATGTTGTTTCAGGCGTGGGTGCAGAGGTGAGCCAGTGAACCCTGTCGGGAAGAACGAGAAGCTGGACTCCAGACCACCGCCCATCCCGAGAGGCCGCGGGGACCCAGTCGGTGATGAGCGTTGCACACCTGACACACAGCAAGTGACCAACATCACGAGACTACGGGCAGGAAAGGAAGTTCTAGAGCTAACCAGAGATGATAGAAGTGTCTAGGCTAGCTCATCGCCCCGCAGGCTGCAGAGGAGTAGGAGGAGTGATATGGACCTTTGGGAAGCAAGGGTCAAGGGATGTGTAGGGTGGGAGTGGTCACTGCATCACCTCGGGGCCCTCTGGGTAGCCATGGACTTACCTGGGGCCGGGCAGACTGAGACGTCACAGTATTCCCATTTCACCTTCTCACTGTTAACCTTAACAAAGCACCAGGGCTTGTGGTCTCCATCTGGGTTTCTGAAACATAAAATCAAAGTGACTGGCCATCAAAGCTTGGAGGCCTAAACATCATCGAAAGACCCGGGTCAGAGGATGCCCAGTCCCCATGATGTCTGGCTACCATTCTTCATTTGAATCCTCCAATAGTTTAGCAAACCTTGGTATACAAGCATGGTCACAGAAGTTTGGCAAAATCTTAACTTCCAGACGAGTATCCCAAGGACCAGGAAGTAGTTTCCAACCTTTGTACTGGACCAAGGGACACAGGAAACCTTTCATGGGAGAAGTGAGATTCCTCCTGAAAAGCTCTTCTCCACATGTTTGGAAATGGATTACAGACTGAGAGACGAGATAAGAACTCGAATTCTGCCTGGTCCCAAGCTCTGAATCCCAGGCATGGGAATCCTTTGTGAAATTGTCACACAGTTCCCCCCATGAAGACTGCACCATGAGAAGGCACCTCACAGTGAGTTTGAGGAGAATAGAAGCGTTGGTTGTGTACAAGGAAGATACTGTTGTTTTGGAGTCAGTTCAAAACCAAGAAAAATATCCTCACTCTCAACCTGCGAATCACTTAAGTCATTGACTTTGTTTAGACATAAAGTAGAACAAGGAAATGAGCAGAGTGGCCCGAGACAGAACACAGAGGAATCTAGTCGTTCCCAGGAAGGATCATTACACTATCCTTACTAAGAACACATAACCATCCTTGGCGGGATTATAATGCTCACCAGACGCCCCGTTGCCCCTCAGCCTTCCTCTTGACATTATGTGGGCCCATGCGACTACTTCTGCCGCAAAATTCATGTGGTAAATAATGTGTCACTTCTCAGTTTTTGTTTGTCGATTTTTTAAGCCTTGTTTTCTTCTTTTTACCCTTCCTGGGTATTTGTAAAACTCTGTGGGGGCCTGAATTCCCCCACAGTCACCACCGCACGACACAGGCAGCATTAGTATGAAATGAACGCTGACGTATGTGAGCCCCTGAGACTGGGGGAGTTTTTAGTGTTATAGCAGTGTATCCATGCCTATCCCAAGTAGGATGGCCTCCTGCTCAGAATGGCCGCTGGTTTGCACTCTGTTCCAAAATCAAACAGCCTACATTAGACAGTACCTGCAAAAGTTGTGTTCTGCAATCCCATGGGTCTCAGCATCCTCCATAAACATGTTGTAGTTCTCCTGCAGGAGGAGGTGGGAATTCCAGTGAAGGCATGGGTTCTGGGTCACTGTCCTACTCACTTTACCTCGGTAAGAGTGGCCGTCACCGACGTAACAGTCATCCGGACCTCGGAGAGAGCAGGCCGCCTATGAGAACCATCGGTCATGGACACATTTCCCTCAATAAGCGTTGGTGGGGATATTAAATGGGTCACGAGACTGGGCCTGACTATGTATGGTCTTTAGGTTTCATCACAAAGCTCCAGAATGTCCCCCATTCGACCTGGATTGAAAGTATGAAACACCCTAGTTGGGGAGGTGGGTGTTTGCAAGATGACTAGGGGAAGTCAAAAGGGGCCCCGATGGGGTCCGGGTGGAGGGTCGATCTGCCTGTGTCACACCCCAGGCCATCACCTCCTTGGCAGGGAGCTGAGCAAGCTCCCTGGAACTGAAAAGGCCTCCAGCGGTCTCGCTTGTCCCAGACTCTTTGATGACGTGGTAGTGAAGATTCATACCTATTTCACAGAATCTCCCCCTGTAGTGGTCTGGACAGGCACAGCTGAACCTGGACCTCCGTCTGTGTCGGGAGCAGACACCACCATTCTGGCAGGGATTTGGTTTGCATGCCGGAAGCACTGTGAAGACAGGAAACGGGACCCGGAGGGCAGGTTAGGAGGAGATGCAGCACCCCATAATGGCGACACGCTTCTGGGGTCACCCTCTGATGGGACACCAGAGGGGATACACAGATCATTGACACACTAGCAAATGTCACAGAAACCTGAAGGACATAGGACGGCATGGATAAGCCATATGAACGGAGGCCTTGCAAAGGACAAAAACAAAAACACAACCAACCCCTACCCCTGCAAATAAAAATATGTGTATATGGGTCAGCAAGTAAGGAACAGCCAGAGGTGTAGACTGATGTGGAAGTTTTCAGATAGTATGAGCTAGGTGGAAACTCATCTGTGGACCATGGACAAGTTAGCACCTCTGAATTGTGGGTTCTTCATCTATGAATTTCTTCCTTGCCTGGAGAGGAGTAAGTCTCTCAGGATGGTGTCCTTCTCACAGCTGAGACTCAGTGAGTGACCCCCCATGACCCACGTCAGGAACAGATCAGTGCCCACTTCCTAGAGGAATCAACTTCCAAGGGGTGTGCGCATGCGTGCATGCATGCATGCATGTGTGAGTGTGCTTGCGTGCGAGCGTGTGTGTGTGTGTGTGTGTGTGTGTGTGTAATAAGATACTAGTGAACTCTCCTTGCGTTCTCCGAGGAAGCTTACATTCTTTTTTTTTAAATCATAATTCAGAGGGCTATCTTGAAATGCCACAAAATCTTCGGACCCACTTGCATACAGTAAGGCGCAGATGCCGTGGGCACATGTTACCGCAGAGAAAACATCATGCGTAGGAGAGCTCTGTCACCCACCTTTGGAACAGTCTGGCCCTGTGTAGGGGTATTTGCAGGCGCAGCGGTAGTAAGGAGGCTTCTGGGTAATGAGGCATTCACCCTGGACACACGGGTTGTCCTTGCACTTGTTTTGGGCTGTATGGGATATGCAGAGAAGCAGAGAATGAGGGCAGGGTATTGTGTGTCGCACATCTGACTGAGAGGGGCACGCGTCTACCCCAGCTTTGGAGGTGGCTTTGTCCACAGTCCTGAAATGCCAGGCTGTTCCTGGACAAAGCGTCCCTCTTAACGTAAGCAAGGTTTCTCCCCGTGTCTTTATTTCCAGTGGCATACGGCACGCCATGAGTTCTAAATGCAGACACCGGGAGGGTCGTGGATGGGAAGTCGGGGCAGGGACCAAGGCACTCGGCCTCTGTGACTTCTGCTCACACCCTGACTTGTGTGGTCGGGGGCAAGTCTGTACCTTCTGTCTGCCCCTCTCACACTGGCCCTACGTGCCCTGAGATCTTCCCGTCGCCCCATTTGAGGACCACATTTCTCTGCTGTGGTTAGTCTGAAAGCAAATTTCCCAGACTGGGCCGTGTTTGGGCTAGATGCTGTGTCTCCCCGCTCTTTCTCTGCAGAATGGACCCACCAGGCCACGTCCCAGTGTGGCAGCAGGGCTGACCACGCAGACGGAGGCCTGACGTCACCAAGCATGGTCACAGAAATGCAGTTATAACCTTTGCCCCGGGACCCACCCAGTGCTTCCCCACCACATTTAGACAGAGGCCGAAGGGGTCGCACTTAACCCATAGGGGAACGGAAAGAAATGGGCTCACCGTTCTGACACCGGCTTCCCGAGAAGGGGGCTGGGCAGTTGCAATGGAAGGTATCCCCTCTGATGATACAGTCCCCACCGTGTTCACAGGGGTTGGACTGGCACGGATCTGAGAGACAGGGGCGGGAGTCGAGGTCAGAGAGACGGGAATCTGCAGAGAATCCCCACCTCTCACCTAAAGTCGGCCTCCCGCCCCGAATGAAAAGGTTTAACAATAGGACTGTTGCTTGGACAAAGGGGAAAACACGTATCGTCCTTCAAGATCAAGGGCGACTTCAGTCACACGCCCCGGGGAGAGGGATGCGGGTGAGTAAGAGGCGAGGCAGGCAGACACAGCTGTGACTGTGTCCCTCAGCCCCGCTTTGGACCAGGTTCTCTCATTGAGAAAGTCCCCTTCCTCTCCCGAGTGTTTCTCTCCTCCCACCTCGCTGGGAGTACATTGGGGTCTGTCTCTGATGCTGAAGGCATTTCACAAGCCTGAAGACCTCCCCTACGCACAGTGCCCGGGGGTGGAGGTCAGGCAGAAGTGTGCGCAGCTAACCCACCCCTCGCGAAACACAGGCTCTCTGAACATCAGGAGAGCAGAGCAAAGGCAAGAGGGGTGACAGAGGATTGACGGCACACAGGAAGTGACCCAGTGGCCTTCATCTTCCTTCAACTCCTTGTTCAGTTAGATTTTTTTGTCATATTTCATCTGTGCCTTTGGCTTTTCTGCGGCTGTCTGAATGGGTCTTCCCTTGGGGAATTCTTTGTCCTTGGCTCATGCTCATTGTTCTTTGGCTCGGGAAGTAGGATCCCGGGGCCCGGCGCCTGTTTTGATGGTGTCTTCTGATGTTCTCCCGGTGCCCTGTATCTTGGCCCTGCCTTCCAGGCCACTCTGCAGCAGCACAGCCTTTATGGCAGCTGCTAAGCGCTTCCCATGCCTTCTCTTGGCTCAGTCACGCGGCTTTGCCTGGACCCTGCTTCTTAGTTTCCTTTTTGTCCTATTGGTCGGTCTAAAGAGCCGTAAACCAAAACCAAGCATGTGAATACATACGCATGCACACAACCATGCCAGCATACACATACACATACACACATATATATGTACTAGCATATATATATATATATGTGTGTACACACAAACACATTCATATACACACACAAAACAAATATGCACAACTATACTCACATACACATATAACCACACTCACATACACACATATGCACACACAACCATACTCACATACACGCAGAACCACACTCACACACACACACAGATACACACGATCACACACACAACCACAATCACATATATACACACATATATGCACACAACCACAATCACATATACTACATATATATATACATATATACTCGCAATAATATGCACAACCACACTCACCTATGCATACATTATATACCGCCACCTTCACTCACACATACATATAAACATACAAATACATATACACAATCATTTATACACACACACTAACAACTATGAAAAAATTCTGAATAAAAAGCTGGGCATGGTAGCAAATACTTAAAAATCCCAGCACCCAGGAGGCAGAAACAGACAGAACCCTGGTGCTCACTGGTCAGTGACATAGTGGGGCTCACTGGTCAGTGACATAGCGGGGCTCACTGGTCAGTGACATAGCAGGGCTCACTGGTCAGCCAGCATAGACCAATCATGGTAAGCTCAGGCCAGTTGAGAGACCCTGATTTAGGAACCAAGGCTCCAGAGAAAGAATATCGGGAGTTGCCGCTGACCTTTCTACTCACACATGTACAAGCACACTTACACATACGCACCCCAGCATGCATAAGACTTAGACATGCACGCATGCGTGCACACAACCACGGAGATTATAAACAGCAAAGGGAGAAAGAAAAAGGGCGAAGAAGGGAGAGCAAGAGAAGCCTCAAAGCCGTACTCGCCGCGGATGCTGCAGTCTAAATGCTCAGATATAGCCGAGGCTCCTCTGCATAGTTAGGACTTAGCTTGAGCTCACAGACGCAGAACTGACTCTGGACTTGACTTCTTGCAGCGTCGGGAGGGCCGGATGATGAGGCATCGCCTCACTGTGTGACCTACGTCAAGTCTGTTTCTCTCCTGGCCTCCTTGACTTCACTTGTTACTCCAGGGTAGGTAGATGCTTCTTAGCACCTTCCCCGTCCTGAGTGTGGGATGCAACGGGAGGAAACCCAGCCTACGAAGCTCGTGAATGCCTATTTTACCATGTGGGCAGAGAGAAGGGAAGGGAAAGCTCTTGCACGAGGTCACACATAAATTCCTTCAGTCATGGTCGCTCCCTCCGTTGGCACCCACCATCGTCTGCATAGTACCAGTCAGGGTTCTCAGGGGAGGTCGGCATGACACTGGGGACTTCGTCCGGGCTGGAATACTCGTAGCTGTAGTAGTCATCCGGCGTCCAATCTGCAGGTCAGGGAAGGATAGAGACAGCCTAGTCAACAGACCTGAGGACATCAGTCTTTGGTTTAAGGGACACCTCTTCCCAGAAAAACTCAATATCGTTAAGGAGGAATTACATATCTTTTCAGCTGTCCCCAGTGATGCAGGAAGGCAGGAAGGTTAGGCTTGGGGGTGTTTAATTTTGGGAGTTGTTAAGGTCCAGCAACTACATTTGACATGGCAGCACCTGCCTAGAAACAGGGAAGGAGATCAAGTCCCGGCTTTCCACCAACAGTGCCATCGGGTGAACCCATTGTATTCTCTACGCCTTGGCTTTCTCAGCTCTGAACACAGCAGGAAGCAGCCTCTGGCCCTCAGGTCTTCACAGTTCTACATAGGATCTACCAGGGTTAGAGCACACGGTGCTGTCGTGGTGCCTCCCTGGTAGCTTTGTGGATTGTATTTCTCCACGAGGCTTTATTAGTCACCTTAGCTTAGTGAAGTCCAAGACACTTGTCACTCCCCCCTTGGTCAAACATCTCTCAGTTGCATCTACAGAGCATCTAACAGCCAATCTTTACTGAGCCTTTACAAGGTCCCATGCTAAACACTTGCAGGTACACTCTCTTTTATGCTCATAAAAATCTGGGAAGTTGGTCCAGCGGTGGAGTGCTTGCCTCTAGACTTGATCTAAACCCTAGACTTGATCCCAGCTCCGTGTGAAACGGCTGTGGTGGTACACACCTGTGAACCCAAATGTCTTAGTTTCTTTCCATGTGCTATGAAAACAAACAAACAAACCCAACAAAGTAAGTGTAAGGAAGGGGGTCTTATTCTGGCTCATGGTCAGGGTCCCCAGTCCATCACGGTGGGGAAGTCATGGCGGCGGGAGCCTGACGCACTGGTCTCGTTGGATCTCACAATCAGAACAGAGGGATGAATGAGTGCTATCACGTGTCTCACCTTCTCCATCTCAGACAGTCTGGGTCTGACGCCAGCAAACGGCGTCACTGTCCTCAGTGAACCCTGTCAACACACGCCCTCGTATGCATGCCGAGGGAGAAGCGAATCCCTCACAGGTGTGCCCGAGGGTTTGCCACCTAGATAAGCTCAGAAGCTGTCACATTCACAGTGGACAGCATCGCACCAGAATCCAGGGTGTAAAGAAAAGGATCAAAGGTCCAAGACATCGTTGGCTGTAGAGAGCGTTGGAGGCCGGGCTGGGACATGTGGGACCCCGTCTCAAAAAAAAATCTGGGGAGCATATGTTGGCTCTGCTTTAGATTGTGGAAACTGAGGCCCAGAGAGGATAAGCTCGAGGTCTCGTAGCTAATTCACAGTTTATCTCTGTAAAGCCACCCTGTCTTTCTAGTCCAATGACAGTGCTCAACTGCTTCAATTGGCTCCTTCCATCGCTTTGCTCACACACACACACACACACACACACACACACACACACACACACACACACACTTAAACAACCATCCCCACTGAATGTCCAGCCTGATGCTTAACGGCCACCCAAGTGCAGTCCTCAAGACTGTTCCGGGGACCTTCGTTACCAACGGAGACAACGTGATGATGCCCACAGGTGGAAAGCTCAGCCAGATAGACAAGCAGGTGTGTGTGCATCTGAAGTCGAGCTCTTGGCTGTGTGGAGTCTTGGAAGGTGCTCTGTGGCTGGTGGGGAGAAGTTTGGAACTGGGAGAAAGTTGAGTTCATTTTGCCCGTTCCTGCTGATGAGAGGATGGCAGCTGGCAGTGGAAGCCGGGAAGAGGCTCTCCAGAGAGGCGCACGGTAACGAGGCAGGAGCAAACGCAGACACCCGACTTGAAAGGCAGTGATGGTGTGGAGGACAGCTCTCTACTCAAGCCTGATTACCAAGCACACTGTCTCAGGGTCTCCCCATCACTCTGTGAGAGTCTTTGTAGGCATGACTTCTGATAATTTGACTTTTGCACAATGGCTGTTTCATGTTTCCCATTAAAAATGGAATTATCTTTTTATTCCTTCTTTGAATGCATCGACTCTGGTTCCTTGGCAAAGTTTCACCTCATTTATCGCAGTGTCAAGTCAAGACTCTCTTTGCTTGCTCATTATTTTTCCCTGGCTGCTTTCCCCAGGATGAAAAATGCTCCCAGAGGAGGCCACCTCTCCAGAGATGAGGATCTAGGCTAAAGATAAGAGCACAGTCTTCCTGGAGCAATGAAGTTTCCTTCCATAAATGCGACAAAGCAGAGAAAGGGTGACAGAGGCGGGTGGGAATGCTTTTCCAAGTTGGCCATGGAAGATTTCAAACTGACATTTGAAGGAGACTGAGAGTTGACTGCAATGTTGGTTTAGTTGTTTTCTCCAGAGGACTTCCTTTGGTTTCTCTTACACAGGTTTATAGAAAATGGGTCTTTTAGGGTTCCAGTCTTTCCTAGACCCCTCTCAGTAGTCCCACGGATCGGAGGCTACACTGTCTAATCTTAACTGTGTTGCTAAGGATCCCTTCCACACCCTGTTGTGTGTTATGAGTCATCCACACCAGGGATGGCTCAGCTGGTAGAGTGCTTTCTGCCCAAGCTTGAGACCTGAATTCGGATACCTACCATCTGGAGCTCACTAGCCTGCTACTCTTGCTGAATTGGTGAAGCTTAGGTCCAAGGAGACCCTAGACCCTATTTCAAAAACTAACAAAAAATGGAGAGTGATAGAGGAAGATGCCCACCATTAACCCCAGACTCTACATGTACACACACATGCAAACACAAGCAAACAGATGTGTGTGTGCCTGTACACACAAGTACACACACACACACAATCACATGAAACACACAAATCTGTACATGTGCACTTAGCACCCATACACACTTGGGCTTGCACACACAAACATATAAACATACCGTCCACACATATAAAAATCAAGGAACACAAACCTGTGCACATTCATTTACTAATCACACACACATTAAAAAAAAACACCTGAAATAGAGGAGATGCTTACACGTGCGGAATACTGTGACATTTTTAGGGGATGGGTAAAGTGAGCAAGGTCTGCTCCTTTCCCTGTGACCTGAAGGGAAATGGAACATACCAGCTCTGGATCAAACCCTTCAGAGTCAGACAGGAAGTCCCTACAGGTTGTGAGGGTCCCAGGCCCCAAACTGAAATGGACTCAGCGAAGGCTTGGTAGCTCCTGGTCACCAGAGCAGAAGAAGCCATTCTGTGTGTGTGGGGGGGGCTGTGCAAGCTTGTTACCAAGGCCTTTCCATTTGGATGGCCTCACACACCTTCTGCACTGCTGACACTCCATCCTACCATATGTGGACAGGACATAGCAGATCTACAATGGGTGAAGTGTTACTCCAGGTAGCAGAAAGCACTGGGGACCCCGGCATGTTATAAAGGTAGATCAACAGGAGTAGGACATGGCCTCGTCACAGAGGAATCTCGGGTCTGAGTGGCCTTGCGGAAGAAACCAAAATAAGGAGACTGAGCCTGGTGGAGACGAGGAAACTAGGTGTGCCTACATGGAACCCCGGTGCCTTCGCTTTCAGGGTTGAGCCAATCTGATGACAAGTATGCCCATAATTCTCTACCCCACATGCGTCTTTACTCTCTGACAGCAGGGCTGGACTACCCAGTTCATCATGTCCCTCCCCTTGGTCTGGGCTGACTTTGAGACTAGCTTTAGCGTTTGTGGTTGAAACAGTGCACCTGCTCTCAGGCTGACCCCGAGAAACCCCATTGCTGTCCTCTCTTGCCTCCTCTTCCTTCCTCCTTCTTCCCCTGCTCTTCCTGCCTGCTTTCCTGGACCCTCCTGACTCCTTAGTCTGGCCGGTGTTGTCATGTGAGTCAGAAGCATGACCAGATGAGGCCTCAGACGTGAGAAAGCCAGCCAATAACAAAACAAGAGGCCAGACCAACGTCTCACTGGCTGAAGATGCAAGGAAATCCAGCTTACACCCGCTAAAACCTGGTCTAGACCAGAAGAACGGCCCAGCAGAACCCAGACTAGCTGCTAACCCAAGGAACTAACATCTAAGTACATGGTTGCCAACTGATCCCTCCAAGTTTGAGGTCCTATATTATGCAGTAATAACAACAACAGACACACAGGACTTGACTGACACTGGGTTGTTATGGGGTTGGGGTTTAAGATACAAGGGCATTCCTCTCTATCTTGTTGGCTGCGGATGTCCTTGCTGGACCCTCTCTGTTTCTCTTTGGGGCTGAACTCATCTATCTGATTTGTTTCCTTGGATCTTAAAAACGGGACCACTTCTGTCCTTCGGTGTTTCCCACAGTGCTCAGCACAGAGTCCTAAGTGTACTTGTCACATGTGTGCAGACTGATTTTTTTCCCTGTGACCACGCCTCCTTGTCTTCTGATTGGCCCAGCTGAAAGCAGCATGTTTGGGGGGCCTTAGAAAGAAAACGGGTGAGAATTGCACTTTTTGAAAACCCCCCGATGAGCTCTCTACAAGTCTATAAAGTTGTCTAACTGCTTTCTTGGTGGAAAGGGACAGTGGTTGACATAGAATCTGGTCCCACTCTGGCGGGCTGGAGAAAACCGCTTTGGAGAGGTAGCCTTCCCTGAATTCAACCCCCAGAATCCACATTTAAAAAGGGGGCAGTTCATAAACTTGTAATCCAATCCTAGTGCCAAGGAGGCAGAGACAGTGTGATCCCTGGGGCCCAGAGATCAGCCAGACTAGCCCGCTATTGAGTTCCAGACCATTAGGAAACCCATCTCAGAATCCTCAGAAAACATGGGTCGGGTAGCCTGGCATGCATGGCTATGAACAGGAGACTATGTCTCAAGCAAAGTGGAAGGTGAGGTAGTCCTCTGACCTCCAGCATTGCAGCATGTATGCACATCACATGGACCTGTTCATGCATTAACATCCATCTGTCATCTGTCTGTCTATCTATCTGTCATCTATCTATCTATCTATCTATCTATCTATCTATCTGTATATACACAAGTACATACACAAAAATGAGGGAGAGAGAGAGACAGACAGACAGAGACAGAGACTATCTCATAATCAGGAACTATGACTGGACCTTGGGGACACACACAGGGCTCTCTCGGAGGCTTTTATATTAGATATGAGAAGAAACACTATGGCCTTGCTGCTTCGTCAAAATCCAGCTGGAAATAACTATGAAGAGGGTTAGGGGGTATCCTGAGTTGACGTAAATACTTTCAAAGGCGGGTTATTAAATATTAAATATTTTCTGTGTGTCCAGTACTCTACATAAGTATGTGCGAACTTAACTTTCAGCCTCTGTGGTAAGGGTAATTGTCATTACTACTCCACAGATCAAAACACCCAGACAGAAGGGCATCTGCACCCAGCTTTGCCTGACTCCAAGTTCTGTCTGACTTCTCATGAGCCTGGCATTTCTGTGGTTCGGGTTAGAGAGCCCTTGGCCTCCTGGCTTTTGGGGAGGAGTCTTGGCCAGGAAATCTTCAGTTAGCACACAGCCCTTGGTCCTCTCCAGGATTCCTGTGGTCCATGGTGAGGGCCTCTTGGAAAGAGCTCACAGTTAGTGCCATGGGAATTTCACAGCTGCTCTGCTAAAGGAGCTTGCCAGATGTGTGGAACGGAATGAAAACCCCTGGAATGTCATCCCGGTTGGCTTCATCCGTCACTGTGCCACAGCTGGCTCCTCTGAGGGCCTTCCCCCAAACCCCAGCCCTGTCGGCCCGCATGTGACGTTTCCAGGCCTGCTGGCAGGCATGTGCAGCCGAGAGCCTCGCTGGCAGGCGGCAGGACAGCTGATGGATGGGCACAGCCTGTGGTGCTGGGCAGAGCCAAGCCAGCTTTGAAGATGCGTTTCCGCAGGCCTGCCGGCTGTGTGTCACCTGCTTCAGGGACATGGGCAGAGCTCCTGCTTTTGATGGCCACCTCCCCTGCCACCCACCGGGGATTGGGGACCAGGCACCTTCTGCTCCAGCAAGGCCCTTGCCATGTCCTGGCACCAGTCAGACCAACCAAGGAAGCAGCTTGCCTGAGGGCATGGGCACGGTGTCTCTTCGACAGGCTGAAGGGAGCACAGAGCTGATACATTTCATCAAAGAACAGCCCCATGCGCAATGGGACCAAATGAGGATAGCTCTAAATCTAACGCCCACAGCTAGAGGCCGGCAGAGCACCTGGAGACAGGCTCCGGGGCCCAGGGCCAGCCTGCTTCCTTTATTCACCAGCCCTCAGAAGTTGTCTGTGGAGTTCTCGTAGAAACCGGTGTCCTGGCCCTACATCCCACACTGTCCACTCCTGTCCAAGTTGTTTTCTGACTTGAGTCTTTGCCCTAAATGCCTCTGGTGCTGGGACGTTCGGATTCCAGAATATTCTGATTTTAGGTGATTTATTTTTCTGTCAATTCAGACACTATGCTTTGTAATCTGCTCAACTAAACCTTACACAGACACACAGAACGAACAAATCTGCTCTTTTCTTTGTCTACAACCAGCACACTGCCTAACGCCTGGGTATCATAAACTCCCCGTAGACGTTATATACAACGTTCTAGGAGATGGTGGCAAAGCGCCCTGTGGTAAAAATGCCTCTCGACTTTCTTCCTTTCCATTTTCGTGTGCGGGCGTGTGCATGTGGGGGGAGAGGCTGATGTACAGAGTCACCCTTAGTTTCTCTTCCACTCTGCTCGCTCATCGAGGCAGGGTCTCTTAATCAAACCCAGAGCTCACTGATACGGCTAGGCTCACAGGGATCCCCTGTCTCCATCTTCCAAGGGGAGAATTGCAGGATGGCTGCCGTGACCATCTAGCATTTGCGTGGGTTCTGGATCTGTTTCCGATGCTAAGGCAATTATTTTATCCACGGAGCTCTATTTCTGGCCCATAAAGATACTTTTTGTTGTTGTTTTGTTCTTGAGACAGGGTTTCGCTGTGTAACAGTTCTGGATGTTCCGGAACTCACTTTGTAGACCAGGCTGGCCTTCTCACAGAGATCCACCTGCCTCTGCCTCCCAAGTGCTGGGATTAAAGGTGTGCACCACCACCACCCTGCCGTACTTCTTAATCCACACCGTTCAACTCTGGGCTGCAAGTGGAACTCCTTTTAGACACTTGAAACTGGGCTCCCTTGACTCTTCTATGCCCCGCCTCCTTTTCTGTTCACCCCAAAGCATCCACAGCTCTGTCTTTCTGCCCTCCCTGGTCCAAGAATACTTTGCTGGTGTCTGGGCAACGTATGCTGGAGGCTGGGGAAATGGTGGCCCTTCCAGCCTTGGTGTTGGCCTCTCTCTGAGCTCCATGCACACCTGGAGTCTGGATTGGAGCTTTCTGGGCATTTGGGCTGCCTTCCCTCCCACTTCCTGTCTTGCTTTTGGAGAAAGATGCAGAGTCCTTCAGCAGTTCATGTTCGCACGGACACACGTTTCTATTCTGTTCCGGAAGGTCTGGGTCACCTGCTCTGAACCGCCACTGTCTATCTGCCTGTCCAGAACTCTTTTTCTGTAGAATATCGATGGCTGATCGGGATTAGGCTGGCAGGTACCATCTTAACTCTAAGTAAGTCCTTGACACAAGCTTGAATCCCATCTGTCATCTCCGAACGCAGGCTGCCTGTTCTGGCCTTCTGAGCACGACCAACCCAGCCTATGAACTGTGGGGATGTCTGCCTTTGGCCCCTGGGAGTCGTGAGAGGAGTTTCTACCCCCAGACTCAAGCAGGCGCTATGGTGTTTATCCCACTGTGGTGTGGGCACGAGGCAGAGGACACAGAACGTGTGGATGGTGACAGAGTGAGTCTGGGAGGGACAGAGAGCCTGTGAGAAACAGCCCGGTCCACTAGGCTGTCACAGATGGGGGAAATCTGCAAGTCAGGTAGTATGACAAAACCTCTTTGATGTGATTGTTCTGTGTATTTGTGGTTGCTTTTAATTTACCGTTCTTGTCATAGAGTCCCTTATGCTCTAGGCTGGCCCCAAACCTGCTACGTAGCTGAAGCCCGTCCTGAACTCCTGACCCTCCTATCTCCATCTCCTAAGTGCCGGGATTACAGTAGTGACCCAGTGTTCCAGTTTCGAAAGCAGTCCTAACACCGTGCTGGACATAATGACATCTACCTCAAGTCTACCTGACTCTCGGTGCCTTGTTATCAGTCTGAGACTTCCTATGTGTTTTCTGGACCTGCTAAACCCAGGGGCAGTGATGGAGGTAAGTGGTGCCATGGGGGGCATCACTGGGGTAGCGCATCCTGGAGCTGCCTGACTTGGCTTCCCTGTGGGGAAGCAGAGCGGCCCCTTGCTCAGTCACATCTGGTCTTCCCTCAATCGCTAATGGGCAAGAAGCAGGTTGCTTCCCTTCTCTGGGCCTCAGTTTCTTTCTCTGTGGAGTCAGGGTATTTAAGCACATTAATAGTTTCTCCCTGAGGTGTCTGAGATTGGCACCTCGAAGCTGTGTTGAATGCTACACAGCTGCAGTGCTCCTGGGTAAATTCTCAAAGGTTTCTGTGGTACCCCAAGGTCCCTTAAGCGCTTCTACGCGCTGGCTCTCGGCTGGTGGAAGTCTGGGGTGATGTCACACTCACCTGGGTCTGGGGGCGCAATGAAGGACATCAGTGAGAACTGAAAAACAAAACCACACAGTGAGTGTCTGACGGAGCTACCGGCACCTCCCCTAGATGCCCTAAGCCAGAAATCACTATCCCCAGACACAGGAGTGCTGGGGGGGGGTGTGCTGATGGGGAAGCAGGCCTCAGGTACTTCCTCTCCTGAGCACACAGCTTGCCCTACACACCACACACACACACACACACACACACACTCACACACACAGTCACACACACACTCACACACACACACCTGTTGGGATATGGCTTGCCTGAGATCTGCCACACACACACACAAACACACTCACACACACACACACCTGTTGGGATATGGCTTGCCTGGGATCTGCCACACACTCACACACACACACACACTCACACACCTGTTGGGATATGGCTTGCCTGGGATCTGCCACACACACACACACACACTCACACACACATACACACCTGTTGGGATATGGCTTGCCTGGGATCTGCCACACACACACACACACTCACATACACACACTCACACACACTCACACACACTCACACACACTCACATACACACACTCACACTCACACACACACTCACACACACATACACACCTGTTGGGATATGGCTTGCCTGGGATCTGCCACACACACACACACACTCACATACACACACTCACACACACACACTCACACACACACTCACACACACACTCACACTCACACACTCACACACACTCACATACACACACTCACACACACACACACACTCACACACCTGTTGGGATATGGCTTGCCTGGGATCTGCCACCGTACTAACTAGTCAGTTGCTCCTGGATCATGATTGGCATGGTTGCCTTACGTTCCCATGACAACCCCATTCTCGGAGGGGAACACTTAGGATTGATGCTCAAGTCTAAGTGATTCTTGGGGTGACTGTCCTTGTAGACCGGGAGTGGACAAACACTTGAAACTCTCCCGAGGTTTCCCAGTGCTCTTGGGATAAAACACAAACACCTTCCCCGAAGGAGACTTGCGGCTCTACTCTTTAACTTTCCTACAGTTCTGAATAGTGATGACGTGAAACTCAGGGAGGGGAGGGATAAAAAGAAAAATGGAAAATGATCCCTGGTGTATGGGACTGAGACTCCGTTTAATTGCCTTGTACCCCCCTAGCCCTGTTTTCTATGGGGGGGGGTGAGACGGGGCACTACATGCTTCACTGGATGTGGGGAAAGGGGAAGCAGGGGCCACCTGAGAGGACCGAGGAGGAGCTAGAAGGAGGACTGCGGCAGGGAGGAGCGGGGGGGTAAGGGAGGTGGGGGTGGTCCCCTCCTTCAACCTCACCCTAGAACAGCCAGGGGCTGTACCTCGAAGCTGTACCTTGGATCTGGCTTCCAGCTCTGCCTCACCTCTTGCCACTGAACCCGTGTGGAACCAACCCATGGTCTGTGTCCGTCTCTACCCAGGGAAAAAGCACTCAGGGTTTTCTATTTGAGCTGAATAGGACGGGCCATGCCCTGAGCAGTGGGCAGGCCAGGAGAGACATCCTTTAAGAGCCTTCCCTATGAGGGGATGCCATCTTCAGCCTTGATGCAGTGGGGAGGGGCTTGGTCCTGCCCCAACTTAATGTGCCAGGCTTTGTAGACTCCCCAGTGGGAGCCCTTACCTGTTGGGAGGAGTTAATGGGGGTTAGGGGGGGCGGGAGGAGGGGTGGGAGGGAGAACTTTGGTTGGAATGTAAAATGAAATAAAAAATAAATTTAATTAAAAACAAACAAACAAACAAACAAAAACGAGCCTGCAGAGAAGCCTGTAAGCCTAGCGCCAGAGTTAAAGGCACACACCTGTTTGCTACACCCAGAGCCTGAGACACAGACGTTGCCACGCCGCCTGCAGCCAGCAGGTGGCAGACACGTTCTTTCTAGGCATGGCCTCAGAAGGAATCTAAACTCAGCCAGGGAGGCTTCCCAGCAGAGCCAGCCTGGCCCTCCAGACAGCAGTCCACCTGCTGCAAACAAGCACTCCGCACTCTCTTTCCGACCCTGTTTCCACTCACAGAGAGATACTGTGGTGCCCGGCAGAGGCATCCCAAGCTGGATGCTTCCCGTTTCCAGACGCTAGCCTCTGCTGTGTCAGAAGCAGGGTGGAATGGGTACCATTTGTCTCCTTCCATCCCATCATTCCTGCATTGCTTTTTCCAGAGTCCAGGGGATAACAGAAGAACGCCTACTCCTGGGACTCGAGAATCCAGACATGAGAATCAGCGGAGGAAGTGGGGTGTGGGGGGACAGCCAAGGGTTAAATAAGAAAGTGCGGGGCTCTGCCGAATCCCTAAGAACTGACCGCAAGCCGGGGCAGGTGATGATGGACGCTTCCCACCCACACTGTCTCGATCATTCTCCAAAGCACTTGTTCGTCCCAAAACTGTAATTATCAATTTACCCCCAAGGCAGCGATGCAGACCTGGACTGTGGATGCCCGTCTTCCATCGGACTCCGTGTCTCTAGCCACTGCGTCAGAGCCTGGGAGAGCCACTGCGTGGCCACACCGGCCAGCTTTGGCCCCTCTTGCGGTGCTACACATTATGACCGAGAGTGACTTGGGAGAAGAACGGGTTCATATTTGTCTCACACGGCCCCACCACCGTCTGTCACTCAGGAATCAAACAGGAGCAGAGGCTGAAACCGCGGAGGAACGCTGCGACTCGCTGGCTGGCTCCCAGGCTCACCTCACGTCTTTTTTCTTACACCTGGGGGGGCATCACCCACAGTGAGCTGGCCACCTCCCTCCCACATCAGTCAACAACCAAGAAGATGCCGCCCAGGCTTGTCCACAGGCCAGTCCCGTGGGGGCAACTCCTCAGCGGGTTGGGACACTTTATTAAATAAAGTCCTATCCTGGGGGGTCCAGGTCTGGGAAGTGGCAGAGGGAGCCACACGGCCACACTGGCAAACTGGAGGGTGTCATAGGCGGTCCACTGGTGAAGACATCTCAGGAAACATCTCTGTCAATGACAAGGAGTGCAAATTCCTTCCCATTCCCCCCACCCCCCCCACCCCACCTCCATCCCTAGAGGTAGACAGCACACGGTCAGTCAACGAGTCTTTCTTAGAGGACTGGCCACGGCTGCCTCTCAAAAGGGGAGAGGGAACTTTTAGCCACGGGTGTGGAAAGTCTACTCCAGCTCTCAATGCTGGAGTTCCCGTTGGCCCGCAACCCACTCTCAACTCTTCCAGACACGCACCTAGATGAGAAGTTGCTGGTTCAGGTCGCTGTTCTGCCTTTACTCTTGGATCACCCTGTGCTCCTCCCACCAGTGAGGCGTGAGGTTCCAGCTCCTCGTGTCCTCAACACGCTCGTGTTCAAACACATCAGAAGCAGTTTAAAGGGGGTTGTTCTTGCTCACAGTTTCGGGGGACACAGTCCGTCAGGGTAGCTGGTACAGTGTTGGCTCTGCGGTGCGGCACAATTTGCTCATATCCCCAGCAGGAGGTGAGAGTGGAGATTTGGGCCAGAAGTAGGGGTGGTGTGTAACCTTCAAAGCCTGCTCCTGGTGGCCCCCGGACTCAATCATCTGGAGTCCACGTCTCACAGATCTGTTTGTAACCTCAGAGAACAGTCACCATCCAGGGGCCAAGTGTTCCAACGTGAGCCCGTAGGGCTGGGGTACACTTCACAGCCAAGCCACACTTGTTGTTTTCCATTTGGAGACGTTGTAGCCACTGTGGTTGGGTACCGAACCCTTTACTCAGCCAGCTTAGTGCTGTCTCAGTTGGTCAGCCCTGGCGTGGCTGGGCCTTGATGCTCGCAGGTGGGGAGGGAAAGACTCTTCGTGCAGGGTGGATAGACGGGTTTGAACTCAGCTCGATGACATGCGGTGAGTGAGCCATCTTGGACAGGTCATCGTTGTTCCCACCGCTTGTTTTGTCATCTGTGAAATCAGAGTGACGCTGGCCCCCTGCCTCGTAGGCTTGGACATCATTGTTGATGAATTAATCTTATTGCTATTATTATTTTCAAATTGCTTGGTGCACGGTGTGGGAGGGGCACAGTGCGGGGTGGGAGGGGCAGTGGGGGGAGGGGCGCAGTGTAGGAGGGGCAGGACCAGGAGAGCACTCTCTGCACAAGGTCTTCCAGGAACTTATTACTTGGGTCAATCACAAGTGTGACATATCAGCCCCCTCCCCCATCGTTCTTTCCCTGGGATCCTTGCCAAACCCTAAGCCAGGAAACCTTGTTATATTAATTATGAAGAGAAAGCATGTTTTATTTAAAATCCCGGCTGCTGAATTTTCTGCCATGCTGTTTCTCTGTGACAGCAGAATTTCTTTTGCATTTAGGAAATCCTAATGCATTTAGAATATAAATATATCCATGCTTATATACACATGTGACTTCAGCGACCTGATTTCCCTAAATACCAGTCTACACTGCAAAGCTAATGAGTTCTACTCCTGCTTGCAATCAAGGTTTTCTTTTTCTCCTCTTAAATCTATGAGAGGTTTCGGTGGAATTCAGTCCTTCCCTTTACCCAGAAGTCTTTGCCTGGGTTGGAGAAGAGGAGGGGACCACTAGGCGTGAAAGAAGTCTCTGGGATGTTGGGGTTTCACAAAGGGTGGCCCCCAGGTTCTGCCCTGGGGCAAGTGTGGATTTGAGGGCTGAGACTGGAGAGTGGCCCACTACAGATTGGCATAAATACTTCAGCATCTATGGTGTGTTTGAGCAATAACCATATAATCTCTCCATCTCCATCTCTGTCTCCCCTTCCTCCCTCCCTCTCTCAGGGGGTGATGAAGATGTAGAATGGTGATCCAGAGGACACAGGGACTCGTGCACGCGCCTTCACAGTGCGCACAGGAATGTGTGCTCCCTGTTACCACAGTATGCGGTTTTCATGAAACCTCGGAGAGCCCTATCTATGTTTGAGATGTTCTGCCTCTCAAATGCTGCCTGGCAACTAAAAGACAAAGAAAATGCTCTGCAGGCCGACCTTCCACACAGCAAGCAAAACCAGGCTGCGAGCGGAAGAATGTTCTCCAATTTGCAGTTTCTTGTCTACACAGGCCGTTCTGTGGTTCAGTGCCTAGGAAGATTCCAGAAGTGAAGTAGTGCAGAGATGTAAACAAACAATCATTTCCCCATGTGTTCCTCTGTGCAGTGCAGCAGAAACCACCACGCTACCTTTGCTCCTCTCTGAAGCAGGACAGGGCTGACAAGACTGTTCTCTCATTCTGACCCTGGAAGGCACAACACCTGTGGCCAAGCTCGGTGTGTCCCCCCCCCCCAACATGCTAAGAATCACCACTGAAGAGATTTCTAAGATAGTGCCTGGCTTTTTGGCAGTTGAGTTTCCTTTCTGTAAGGATGAGGGTCAGGTGGATTCTGTCTGGCACAAGAGAATCTAGCTCCCCCAGCCTGTTCCTTCTCTGGGGAGCAGGGACAACATCACACAGCTATGCTGGAGATGGACACTCAAATGATTTGTATATTGGGTATACACAAACTGATCTAGACCAGACATAAAGGCATATGAATGGTGCCTGGAGTTCATGGCCACAGTATCTGAGCCATATCTCTCCTCAGTGAGTTTCCAAATAAAATCTCAGGTAGAGGCCAGGGAGGTAGCTGAGCAGGTTAAAAAAAACGCTTGCAATGAAGCCTGATGACCCCAGTTCAGTCCCTGGAGACCACAGAGCAGGAAGAGATACCTGAGCCCCATAAGTTGTTCCTTTGTCTACACACAACACACACACACACAACATCTCTCTCACACACACACAACACACACACACAACATCTCTCTCTCACACACACACACTAAGATGAAGAAGATGATGATAAAACGTTTTAGAAAGAAGAACCTCTGATATAGAGGATCCTAAGAATGAGTTACATGATGTACAAGGCCCCTCTTGGGTCAGCACCGATGCTAAGCCTGTCTTCTTTCCACTTCAGAGGCACCTGGAGTCCATCACTCTCTCCCTTGCAGATGGCCTCCAGCTAGGATGTGGCCCCTAATGCCACATGTACCAAGAGATGCACCTCTGCTCCCAAGCACTTAGATGGCACTTAGGGACCCAGGCCTATCCTCTAAAAGTGCAGAGCTTTGCTGTGTCATCTCCCAGCTGTGGGACTTAGTTCTGTACTTGTAAAATGGAAACGGCGACAGCACCTGTGGCTCAGGGGGTCCTTTCTTTGGAGTTACCTGAGGCTAGCCCTCATAGGCTTTTTTTTTTATCCATTCTTGACTTACAGTTTCATTGATAACCCTAAAAGTTCCCTGGATCTTCCAAAAAACAAAACAGATTTGTGTGAGTGTTGGGGGCTGGGACTCTTATCCTTGGGTGAACATCAAACAGTCATGTCAACCCTTCTTGCCTGCAAAGTTTAGGCTGAGTAGTTTCCCTTTGGTGTTGTCTCTGGGCCTCTGATAATTGCCACTGCCGTTTTGTACACCTGTGGGATGGCTGCTATCAGCTCCAGGTACCAGGTACCCACCAAGTGTCACATGATCAGACCAACAGGCTTGCCAAACATCTGGGACTACAGTCACCACATCTTTCCACCTCACCGTTTGACAAAAAAAATCTTTTCTAAAACAAGTCACTTGGCAACTGCGTCTGGGACTAAGGAAGGGGTCTGAGCAAAAGATGTTATCTTACGGGCGTGCTGATGAGCAAGGATGTAATTAATTCCATTCCCCCAGGAAACACCCCAAAAGGAAAATACAAGTCAGAAGTGCTTGATCAGATGCAGGGAGTTTCCAACCACTCTCATCCTCTCCCGTGTCTCCTTGTCCGAGGGGGTGTGCTCTGCTTTTCATGGGGAAGCTACTCGTATCCCGGACATTATCCACGACAAGAGCTAACTCTAGGGTGGGAATGTGGCTCACCCAGTAGAGAGAGTACCTAGTACACACTGAAGATCTTCGTTTTGATCACCAACGCCACAGAGGAAAACAAAAGCAAAAGAACTAAGGTTTATTGGAGGCCACATATATGGCCTTCCATTAACATGACCTTCACCGAATGAGCAGTTGGTTGCTGGCGACTACCTGTAGGCTCAGGGAGACTGTTCAGCTACATAGTCCATCGTGAAGCTGTGACAAAGTCAAGACTACTGCTGGCTCCGAGGCTCAGCACTCAAGCATTGGTCTACAGCCAGCTTGGAGACCCCAGGAATTCTATTCCCCCTTTTCCCTAAAGATCCTGTTGGCAGTTGCACCACGGGGTGGGGGTGGGAGACACAGACTGGCCGGCATCTCCTTTACTCAAAGCCTTACTGCATTTCCCTCTCTGGCTCACCACAAACTCCCTGGGGCCCTGGCTCATCTTCTCTGCCCCATTCACTGCGGTCTTGGGAAAGAGAAGAAAGAGCCCTGGCCACAAGGCTTCTCCTCAAGTCAGACGCAGCTAAGTGAACCCTTTGCTGGGCTCACTGAGCCACCAGGGAATGGACCTGAGGCCAAAGCCCAGGAGTCCTTCTCTTGGTATCCCCCAGAGGGCTGGAGAACCCGGTAGGTGTACTGGGACCAGTTCCCTCTGCGCTCTCCGCCATTTCCCAAAGGGTGCACAGCAGATTTTACCCACACCGTAGAGAATCTGTGTGTGGCACTCGTCTCTGTTGGAATGAATTCATGGAGACTCTGCTATAAGAGACTCAAGTCACCCGCGTGTCATTACCAAACTGATCAGAAAGTCCACGCGACAGTCCATATAAGCTCTTGTAGTCAGGGCACACTCAACTTGGCACGCTAGCCATTCCGGATTTAAGACGTTCTTGCTCTGAACCCAGATGGCTTGATTTTGCTAAAAACCCTCATGGCCTCCCAACCTGTAGAAATTTGAAACGGCCACTTACCCCGATGACTGGCTTCCCCACCAGGCCGATTAACAGCAGAGCACGGAGATCCAGCATCCTGGACAACATCTGTGCATGGAAGGCCTCTTGGTCTGCTCTCCCTACAATTTCTTTCCTTGCGTGTGCCTTTGGGGGTGGGGGTGGGGATGTCAGTCTCTGAGGATTCCGGAACAAATGAAGAGGATGCAAATTATTAACCAGGCATCAAATACTGTTTAATGTTTGGCAAACCAACTATCTTGATTAAACAAATGGTAACTTGGGGTTGGGCAGAACCAAGGGTGCCTTGTCATCTGCAGAAAAAAAAAGTCTTCAAAGATAGCGGCCCAAATAAAGATCCCACGGCTTGTGGGTGCAGGTAGAGCCGCTGAGTGTTGTGGGTCCAGTCTGGATGTCTGGCTGGTATCAGCCACAGGATAAATGGCTACAGAACAGGCAAGAACCTCCCCGTCCCCCCTCCCCCATCTCCAGGGAAGGATGCTGGTGGATTTGTGATCTCACATCTCAACCAGAACTAAGGCATGGATGGGCCCCAATAACATCACACTTTACATTCATGAAAGATAAATTAAAGGATGCCAAACTGCTATTGACAAACATTGATTCTGGGCCCTTTGAAGTGCTGCCCATAGTTGCTTGTTGGCTTCAAAAGTTTTGTTTTGGAAAAAAAAAACCTCATTACATAAGGTTTTTACTTTTTAATTATTTCCCCCTTTAGTTGGAGACTTTCTTTGATCAGTGGGAGGAAAAACAACCACGGTGCTCACTTTTGGGACAGCTGTTGCTGGCGTTAGCAGCACAGGTTGCAGGCAGGGCCACGGAGAGCAGCGGCTACCGGGCGAGGGTGGGTTCTTGTGGACTCAATTGATCTCATCAATAGACATGATCCTGAGCTCCTGTCTGTCCGCAGCAATCTGTGCGTAGGCTCCAGGAATCCTCCTACCTGACTCTGCAAATGTAGGCTTGGAACTGTGCCAACTGATGGTTGGCGCCCCGCCTCTCCCCGAAGCCATCCCACAGGGCGCATGCACTCAGGGCTCAGACAGTGGCTGAACCTGACTCCAGAAGCCAATCTTTCACCATGGCAGACCCCACAGGCCCAGCCCAGGAGAATCCCCAAGTCGAACCCCACTCGCCCGATGGGTCTTGCTGTGTCAAAGTAACTTTTCACAAGGCCATGATGGGGTTACCCAAATTACAATCTCAGCAGTATTTGTCCCCTCTCTGCCCACTTAGATGGAATATTCCCGAGGCTGGGCATTCTGTTAGGCTTCCGGTGAGCACCCAACATAGGCGGACACTCGGCGATTTATGTGGGGGAAATAAATAAGGGAACCACCACCTCATTGGAGCCGCGATTGGGCGCCTCACATCAAGGTGTCTCAGGAGAGGCGGTGCCACATGAAAATGAAAGTGGGTGTGAAAACCCAGAGGCTTCTGTGAACTGTCCGGCATGAATAGCCTTAAAATACTCGCGGAGGTCTACTGTGAGCTGGGCACTGGTAATTCTGGGTGAAGGAGGTGGCCACCAACTTCACTCTGTGTGTACGAGTGTGAGTGTGAGTGTGAGTGTGTGTGAGTGAGTGTGTGTGAGTGTGTGTGAGTGGATGAGTGTGAGTATGTGTGAGTGTGTGTATGAGTGTGAGTGTGTATATGAGTGTGAGTGTGTGTGAGTGTGTGTGAGTGTGTGTGTGTGTGTGAGAGTCAGAAGGACACATCTGGTGTCCTCTAACATTCTTTACCTTGCTTTTGGAGAGTCTCTCCTGGAACCCCAAACTCATCATTTGAGCCAGGCTGGCCGACCAGAGAGTGTGGTATCCCTCTGTCTCCACCCCCCCATGCTAAGGTTACAGGTGTGAGTGACATCATGCCTGGCTTTGTGTGGGTGCTGGGGATCCAAATGCAGGGCACTTTACCTCCTGAATCACATCCCCCAGACCATGAGCTTCACCCTTAAGGGACAGGGTGAGGTTGGAAAAGTAAATTAGTTAACTGTAGTTAGTGCTAAACACAAAAGGTGGAGAACTGGGTGTTGAGATCGCATAGACGGAGGGTTTGAAGAGACGGGACCGTGACAGTGGCCGCTGAGTGGGTCACTGGGATGACCTCAAGGTGATGCTGGTGATTGCTGAACAACGCAGGGTCAGAGGCCACATGGGAGACGTCTCCAGCCTTCCCGTTGGGAATCTGGAGTCCAGCAGCAGCTCAGGCACTGAAGGTGTGTCCACTCGCAGCCCTGAAGGGACGCAGGCATCGGAGTTTTCTGTCTTCTGTCTCACGAGCCAGTGAGCTCCTCGCTTAGTAGAGAGATTCCCAGGGAACAAACCTGGAGCTTCCCTTCCTGTGTCAAAAGGAAGTGACCTTGGTTGTTTGCTTTTTTGTAATCGGGATCCATTTCTCTATCTGGCAATCTTTCCTTTCTTAGTAAAAAGGGAAGGCAGGGGTGGCAGTGGGGGTGGGGGGTTCAGGTTTCACTTTTTGTAATAGCCACGGGGCCTCCAACATTGTCTCTTGTTTGCCCAAAGTTTTATTATTATGACAGTATGAATTTCTACACTACACTCTCTAGAGAGAATTTTCCGGAAGACGCTTAATCCTTTGTTCCCTAGGACAAGGGGGACTGGCTTATCCCGTAATCTGTGTTAATCTGGGGAGTTGGAGTAGAGCCACTGAGAGCCGTGGTCTTCACATCTGAACAGAGAGCCGTTGGTGCTGGTGTGGTGCCGGTTTCGGGTGTCCATCACTGAGTACTCTGGGTACCCAGCTCTCGTGTGTTGGGTTCCGTGCCTCTGAATAGTGCCCTGTCCTATGCAGCAAGCCTGGGGTAGCTGGTTCCTAGTGAGCCTCTCCTCCTGTCCTCAGGAATGGACATGACTCGTGTTTGTTCACTGTCTTCGAAGCTAAGCTCTTCTACCTGCTAAGCCTCCTCCGGTGTGCAGAGACAGCACTGGGCTCACCGTGGACCTAGCCACAGTAGTCTAAGCCCCTTGGCCACACCAACCGCATAGCTCTGGGCCCATCTTCTACTTCCTCGGGGCTTCAGTTTTCCCACCTGTGAAATGGAAACAGAGTTCCCTCTTCGGGGTGTGTAGGAGAGGGCGGGGCTGAGGGTAATGTCCTTAGTGAAGAGACTGGCAGAGAGTAGAACTCTGCAGCATCAAGACTTCCCATGGGATGGCCACCTTTTTGGGAAGGCCCCCATTCTTGACTGGACTCTCTGGGAGGAAGGTGGACAAACCTTTCCGAACAGTTCAGAGAGTACAAGTATTTTACATTGTCTCTGGTCAGGGTTTTTACAGCTGCTTCTCCGTCCCACCGCTGAGCCAAGGATGCCGCCAGAGGCCAGGGTAAAGCCAAGAACACCGTCATGTTCCAGGGTAACTGTGCACATAGTAGGGCCACAGCTTTCACTGATGGGGGAAGTTCTTCTTATTGGTTAATGAATAAGACACTGTTTGGCCTATAGCCAATAGAGCCAGGAAGATAGGCAGGGCTAGGGGACAAGGAGAATTCTGGGAAAGGGAGGAAGAGACAATCGTCATGTAGACCATAAAGGAGTAAGAGGTCTGGACCCTTCTCCGGTAAGCCAGGACCATGTGAAAAATACATAGATTTAATAGAAATGGGTTAATAATTAAGACAGAGCTAGCCAATAAGAATCCCTAGTCATTAGGAACAATTTTATAACAAATATAGCTTCTGTGTGTTCATTTGGGTGCTGAAGCGACGGAAAGACCAGCCGGGACAGGAACCTCCGCAACATTCACGGCACAGCCATAGGAAAATGAGACCCACAGACAACTCATGGTGCCCTGCACAAGATGGGAAGCGCCCTGGGCTGCTGTAACGTGACCTTCCTCAAGCCAACCCAGAAGGCGCGTTCCTTTATATTTATCAGGACCACAGCAGACATCTTTGTGGGGTGACAGGAAAACTCACTTATCCACCCGACCTGCAGGTGTTCACTCCGCACCTACTTTAGGGCTGGGCAGTGATCTGGGAACAAGGAAGACAGACCCGGTTTCAGTGTCGGAGTTAGCATCTTGCAACTTAGGCGTTAGGGGCACAGCTCTTTCTCGTTGTTCTCTTCCTGTCCCCTTGTTCTTATGGCTTGCTGTCCCCTCCATAGACTTCTAGGGACGCTCACCTGGGAAGGGCTGGGGATGTTAGCTCTTTTCCACTTGGGGATCCTAGCCAGCTGGTATTTTCAGAGCTGCTGCTTCTGTGTTCTCTGACCTGGAAAGGGGTCTGGACTTCTTACCCCTGTGGCAGCTACATGATGACTCCCTGTGTCCCTCCTTCCCAGAATCCTGCTCAACTCCTAGTCCCACCTATCTTGCTTTCCTATTGGTCAACAGTGCTTTATTCAACAACCAATAAGAGACAGATTTACAGAATGGCATCTCCCATCACCCACAAGCACTTATTGGCAAAGGTTACCTGTTTTCTGTTCAGCACCCACCTTTCCCCCTTACTATTTCCACTTGGGGTGACCAGTCCCCAGAGTTTGTTGAAGAAACATGCATTTCTGGTAGTAGCATCACAGTGGACTTAGGCTGGGAATCCTGGACCCAGACAGAGCTACTGAAATTTGTGTGCAAGAAGTTTGTTGGGGTGATTCTTTCGGGATCCATATCACCTGGGGAGGAGACAGGTCTAGGTGGAAGGAGGACTTGGGTTGCAAAACCCAGCAGGGGCATAACCTCTGCAAAGTTCTAGAACTGAGGAGTCAGGGCCTCTGCACTTGGAAGCTTCTCCACCAGCTACGAGATAGTCCATGAAAGGACTATGACCATAGGTCACTCTTCAGTTGTATTTCCAGTGAGGAACCCAACTGAGTCTTGGACACCAGTCCGCTGGTGGCTGAAGGACCGGTTGTCTCACTGCTGAAGATGGATCTGGTGATACCTCATAACATCCTCTCCAACTAGGAGCTGGACATCTATTCTGCATCCCTTAGGAAAGGTGCCCAGGTAGGGAAGTGTAGATGGCTTATCGGGGTTTAAATGAACTCCCCTAGTCTCTGGATGGTCTAATCAGAGATGGCTGAAGTCACAGACACGCTCAGGCAAATTTACAGGCAGATGACAGATGTTCTGGGGGTTC